TCTGCTCCCCCCACTTTTCCTCAGAGAAAAAGCAGTGGGAATAGCACCTGCTAGGTGGGAGGCTGGGGGAGCCTGACTGGAGAAACTGCAGGAGAGGCAGGAATCAGGGTGGGAAACAGACCCACAGGCCAGAGTGGGGAGAAGTGGTGCAGTGCAGGGAGTGGACCCTGGCCTGGCCATTGGGAGACACAAGTTCCCTCCCATCCGGGCTAGGCTGGGGACCACTGAACAGATCCTCTCTCCAGGCCCGACCCCTCACCTGCCAGATAAGGAATGTGCACCTGTGGCTCAGGTGGCCTTTGAGGCCTTCTGGCTCTGACATTCCAGCCTCGTGTTAGGCTGCATTTGTGGCCCTGGGCCTCGTGCATGTGGCTTAGACAGCTGAGCAAACAGGGCGGAATTTACCAGGGGAGGTGGCCCCTCTCTTTTTCAGAGAGGTCAGTGGTAGTCTGGTTGTTAAGGGCTGAATTGTTCCCCCTGCAAAAGAAAAAATCATACATTGATGTCCTGCCCCCCACCTCCCAGGACTTCAGAATGTGACTGTATTTGAGATGAGGACTTTACTGAGGTCACTCAGGTAAAATGAGGTCACATGGGTGGGCCCCAATCCAATCTGACTGGAGTCTCTTGACACAGACACACATACAGGGAAGACCACTTGAAGACACAGGGAGGAGACGGCCGTCTACAAGCCACGGAGAGAGGCCTCAGAAGAAACCAACCCTGCTGGGACTTTGATCTTGGACTTCCAGCCTCCAGAACTGGGAGGCAGTACGTTTCTGTGGTTTAAGCCACCCAGTCTGTGGTCCTTGTTATGGCAGCCTGAGCAGAGCAGACAAATAACACTGGTTGATTAAATGTACAGACAATTCCAAACCTAGCCCTGGAGGGTTTTGCTCCATATGGGGAGGCCCAGGCACTGCCGAGGGACTCCTGGCTGGTCATCTGCAGCTGGTGTGCTCGGGCTCCGGGCTGGGCAAGCCCCCCGCTTACCACACGGCCGGGGTCTGGGAGGGCTGCACGGGAAGCGAAGGTGCGCGCTGATTGCAAAGCGAAGAGCTGTTAGCTGCGGCCCTGACGCTGTGGCTGGCAACCCCATACCGTGTATGCTCCACAGCGTGAAGGGGAGAAGGGAGAATGTTCTGACCAGCTCTGGGCCACCACCACTGTCTGCATCTGTCTCCTTCCCTCTGAGGAAAGGTTTCCCGGTTCCAATATGCACATGGCTCGTCACTCACTGTGCAGTAGGACCAGAGATATAGCTAGCTGTCCTCCCAGCCCACAGACTCAGGGAGTATCCATGTGGCCTGCTTTGCCCACTCAAGGCACCCAGGGTGTCTCAGGACAGAGGCCCGGGACTACTTCCAATGACCCAAGGGCCGACTCCGCTTAGGAAAGGCCCTTCTCTAAATATTTTCTCTCTGGGCTTGGCCGGAGACCGTCATAGCCGGTCAGGGGGCTTGGAGAGAGGACCAGGCCTGCCAAGAGCCTCCTGATGACTGTCTCTGTGAGGAAAACCCAGGGAGAAGGGCTGGCTTACTCCCAGACAGCAAGGGGACAGGCCCACCCTCCCCTTCCTGGGTTCAAGCCAGGGCACCCACTGGGGCTGGGGAGCTCTGGACCCAGGCAGACCCCAGAAAACAGCCCGCAGCCCTCCAGTCAGCTGCCGTGTGTTTATTTTCACAGCTGCTCCCCCCCGTTCGGCTGTTCCAGGGAGCAAAGGAATCTGTTTGTCTGTGAAAAAGAATGTGGCAGAGGCAGAAGGCGGCCTCGGGCAGCCCAGGCAGCCTCAACAACTACAGAGCCGGCCAAGACCAGCCAGACACCCAGGAGAGTCACCCAAAGGCCTAGAGGCCAAGGTCACAGACTCAGAGACACCCTTCCCCCTCCCCTCCCCAGGCAGCCCTGCTCTTCCAGGTGCCAGGCTGGCGGCCTAAATGCACGGAACAGGGACCCACCCTCCCGAGGTATTTCATTTGCTGCTTTCTCATTTACAGACAAGCCCACACACCCCCACTACCCACCACACACACACACACACACACACACACACCCTCTGAGAAGGTCAGTCAGCTGTACAGACGAGGGGCAAACACATAGGACCAAAAGCGAACATGCTTACAGCCAGGCCTGCAGTGGGCCTGGGGACAAAGAAGGGGGGCGGGGGGAGGGGGACGAGAGGCGCCCCGGCCCCAAGGCCAGCCTAGTCCCAGCCCAGCCAAGGGAGGCCATCTGTCACACTGGCGGTCCAGCTGAAGCCCCCAGACCTGTCAGCCTTGCTCTGGAACATTCTGGGCAGGCCAGGGGTAGTCCAAGCAAGGCCAGCCCAAAGTCACTGTCTTTTGGGTGGTCAGGGGCTCTGTCCCTCCAGGCACTCTTGATACCCACTCCCATTCATACCTCTCCCCAACCTGCTGGGCTGACCAAGAAGTTGTCCTGGGGGCTGGGCGAGGGGAGGAAGGGACATATAGCCTCCAGCTACATTTTCTAGATGACAGCCCCTGAGTGGTCAGATTTAGGTTGGAAAATTCCCCCCTGCTGTTGTGATCTGGTTTATCTTGAACCCCTCAGAGGTATAGGAGTAGAATTGATCAAAGTTAATCCTCCCTCTAGGTCTTCCCTGGTCAGATGAATAATCCAGTCGTGATTGAGCTCGTCCCCTGGGTCGGCCTCTTCACCCCCGAAAAGCTCTAGGAGACTGAGAGACTTGCCCAAGGACATACAGCAAGAGTAACCAAGGGAAAATGTCTTAGGCTGGCCTCTTCCGGACCTGAGACAAGGATCTGGGGCCAAGTGATTGATTTGGGAGCAGGGAAGTGAGGCAGAGAAGGGAAGTGGGCAGTAAGAAAGGTGTTGTCAAGCCAGTTCCCGGAGTGAGACGTTGGGAGTCAACCCACTGGGCTTCTCTGAGAGACCCTGTATAAGATGCCTCAGCGTAACCCCACTTGGGCAATGGCAAAGCTGGAGTCTTCAGCTTCGTCCTCTCGTTCCCATGTATCAGTGCCTGGGAGATGCTCCCAGGGGCATTGCCTCAAAGCCCTCAGGTGGGGATCTCATGCCCTTTGAGAACGTTCTAGACTGATGAATGCCAAGGGACTTTAGGCCTGGCACCAGGAGCGTCTGCTGTGGAAGTTGACCACAGTTCTCTGTGAATCCAGGGTCTTACTGGGTTCCCCGCACTAGCTGCCCCTCTTGGCACCTGAGACCAGAATATTCAAGGCCCTCCAGCTGCTCTGTGAGGAAGTCAACCTGTCGGGAGTTGGAGCGGAGGGGATGCTGGGAGATGGGGTAGAAACAGCCAGCCCACGCACACGTACGCACAGGTACACACGCGTGTATCAGTGTGTGCCACTAGAATGGGGTTGGGCTTCTGTGACAGCTTCAGAATGGGGGCACCCCTGAGAATCCCTGATGCCGCACAGACTAAGTAGGTGGGGACCCTCTCAGAAGGGTCCCACACTTTGGGAGCAGATTCCCAAAGTGGATCCAATTCGCAAATTCACCACCGTGTGACCTTGGGCCCAGGACAGGTTGCTGGACGCCTCGGTGCCTATAAAATGAGGATATTAATACCTGCCTCAATGCCCAAAGGCTTGGTCTAAGAGTTAGAAGTAACACGGTGGTCTTCCTACCACAGTACCTGGTCCACAAAAGAGGTGGTAGGTCATATTTTTTCTTATTGAGGTAAAATTCACGTACCATAAAAATTCACCATTGTAAAGTGTGCATTTCAGTGGCTTTAAGTATATTTACAATGGTGTGCAACCATCACCACTATCTAATTCTAGAATATTTGATCACCCCAAAAGAAATTCTGTACCCATTCGGCAGCCTTTCCCTATTCTCTCCTCCTCTAATCTCCTTTCTGTCTCTGTAGATTTGCCTATTCTAGGCATTTCGTATAAACGAAATCATACACTATATGGCCTTTTGTGACCGGTTTATTTCACTTAGCACAATGTCCTCAGGGTTCATCCATGTGGTAGCATGTGTCAGTCCTTTATTCCTTTTTATGGTGGAAAGCTATTTCACTATGTGGAGAGACCACATTTTGTTTATCCATTCAGCAGTTGATGGACATTGGGCTGTTTCCACTTTTTGGCCATTATGAATAGTGTTGCTAGGAACATTCGTGTACAGTTTTTTGTGTGGACCTACATTTTGAACTCCTTTGGGTGTATGCCTAAGAGTGAAATTGCTGGTCGTATGGTAACTCTGTGTTTAACTTTTTAAGGAACTGCTAAACTCTTTTCTGCGGTGGCTATACCTTTTACATTGCCACCAGCAATGTAGGAGTGCTCCAATTTCTCCACATCCTCGTCAACGCTTGTTATTTTCCATTTTTTAAAAAAAATATTAGGGGCTTCCCTGGTGGCGCAGTGGTTGAGAGTCCGCCTGCCGATGCAGGGGACGCGGGTTCGTGTCCCGGTCCGGGAAGATCCCACATGCCGTGGAGCGGCTGGGCCCGTGAGCCATGGCCGCTGAGCCTGCGCGTCCGGAGCCTGTGCTCCGCAACGGGAGAGGCCACAACAGTGAGAGGCCCGCGTACCGTAAAAAATATATATATATATATTATAGCCATCCTATGGATATGAAGTGGTGTCTCATCATGGTTTTGATTTGCATTTCTCTAATGACTAATGATGTTGAGCATCTTTTCAGGTGCTCATTGGCCCATATATTTTTTTAAGATGTCAAACATTCCCAGTAATAATTACCTTGGAATTAAACCAAAACACAAAAGTGGGCTGAGGCCAATAGGACTGGGGACTCCAGAATGCCCTGGGCCTCCACCCCTTGGTCAGACATCAGAGTCATTAGATGACTTCCAGGACCTAGAATGTGGGGACAGTGCAGTGGGTAGGAGGAGTGGCTTCCGTTGGCAGCCCACAGACGGAAGAGGAGGGACATATATCAGCTAATTTATCTACAGTAAGTCCCCTACATATGAACCTTCAAGTTGCAAACTTTCAAAGATGCGAACGTGTGTGCCAGCCCCTGTATGCCAGCTGTTGTACTGGTACGACTGTACTTTTCAAGATACTATACTGTAAGATTTAAAATGTTTTCTTTATTCTTTGTGTTTGTTTTTTATGTACGTATTATCTGCGTGAAAAGTATTATAAACCTATTACAGTACAGTCCTATATAGTGGATTGTGTTAGCTGGGTACCTAGGCTACCTTTGTTGGGCTTAGGAACAGATTGGACTTACGAACCTGCTCTCGGAACGGAACTTGTTCATATGTAGGGGACTTACTGTAGTTTTTTTCCTTCTTTTGAATAAATTCCCAGGAATCAGATCACTTGGACAAAGAGAACAGAAGTTCTTGTCGCTGCCCCTTTTAAAACCACCACAAGCTACATATGTATGCAGTTTTACCCTTCTGACCTCTTAAGTATTGCTATACCAATACTTATACACAGATGACTAAAAAGTTATCTGGTATTTTGCTCATTTCTTAATATTTCCACATCAATTCGGATGAGCTCTTTCCTAAAATAACTATATGAACCATATTTTTTGTCCTCAGTCTGCTTTCTCTTCATAAGCTGATTGGAATGTGGTTTGAGTTTTTTGTCTTTCTGTTAAGCATCTTTGATTATCTGTGCAGTTAACTTTTAACTTCTATTTTCTGATTCCTTCTGTCACATCCAAACTTAAAAAGTCCTTCCCTGGGGGCAGAACATGGTTTCAAGATGAGATCCTTCAGAGGAAAATGTTCCAGTGCCTAAGAAATTGCAAAATCCCTCTGACAGGTTAGATGACATTGGTTTCTTCCTGTCTGCAAGGTCCTTCTGGGGAGGGGGGATTGTTTAGCTTCACAGTTTAGAGCTTGGGCTGTGGAGCCAGGCTGCTGGGTTTGAATCCTAGCTTTGTCAAGTGGGCCAGTTACTTAATTCTCTGTGCCTCAACTTCTTCATCTGTAAAATGGGGATAATAATGGTACCCCCCCCCTTCATAGGGTTGTTGAGAAAATTAAATGGTACCCTAAGTATATCTAAGTAAAGTTTTGGATCTCCAGGGCCTCAGATCTCCCATGGCAAGTAAAGTAGAAGGATGAGACTGGTATTCCTTCTGGTCGTGCCCAAAGAGCAGGCCACCGACAGGTCCCAGCCAGGTTCAGCAGGGAGCCAGGGAGGACAGCCCGCTGGGCCCACAGGGCTTCTCTGCCAGCTCTTCTTTCTCCTGCCTTCTGTTCGGTTTGATCTGAGGTTGACAGACCACCTGGCCCGCTAAACTGGGGCAGTAAGCTCATCCCATCTGCCGGCTTACCTGCCCAGAGCCTGTCATTTGTCTGTGTTTTTTCACCTTAAGGGGGTGGCCCACGGATGCAAACAAGCCCGGCTTGTTTTGTCACTTGGTCTCCACTGCCAAAGCTGCTGCCCTGTCATCTCCCTCCCCACCAGGCGGCTCAGACCCAGGAATTTTAATTGACCTGAATTAGAAACTTTGTGAACCAGAGTCACTGGAGAAAGATCTGAGAGGGATTCAAATGCCTGTGACTTTCAGGTGGGGAAGTCAAGTCCCCAGAGAGCCAGTCAGTGGGGAGTAGTGACATGGCCTCAGCCAAGCAAGCCCTTGGGGCTGAGCCCCAGAGTATCCCAGCTGTGGAAAACAACGATCCCCGCATTCCTCCAACCAGGGTGGAGTTCAGGTCTGTCAGCTTAAAGTGAAATCTCCCCTAACTCTCCCCCATCACCCCCAAAATCCTGCAACAAAGTGCTTAATAATAATAATAGCTGGCCTTGCCTTGGCTTTGCAAACGGTTCTCACGCTCACTGTTTGAGTCATCCTCTCATGAGGTGAGGGAGGTGAGTGTCGTTGCTCCCATTTTACAGAGGGATCAACTGAGGCCGAAAAAGGTGATGGCAATGGACCTCAATCCAAGGGTTCTCCATCTTTAGTGCATTAGACTTCCCTGGGGGCCTCAGGGGCTGGCCCCACCCCCAGAGTTTCTGAGTAGTGGGTCTCTCCTGTGGACGAGAATTAGCTTTGCTTCTTTCTTCTCCCCACGCCCATCTTTATTTGAGGTATAACTGTCAAATTAAAAAGTGTGCATATTTCAGGAGTCACACTTGATGTTTTGTTTCGTTTTCTATTTATTTTTGGCTGCGTTGGGTCTTCGCTGCTGCACTCGGGCTTTTTCTAGTTGCGTCGAGCAGGGGCTACTCTTGGTTGCAGTGCGTGGGCTTCTCATTGTGGTGGCTTCTCTTGCTGCGGAGCACGGGCTCTAGGCGAGCGGGCTTCAGTAGTTGTGGCGCACGGGCTCAGTAGTTGTGGCGCACGGGCTCAGTAGTTGTGGCTTGTGGGCTCTAGAGCACAGGTTATGTATACATTGTGAAATAATCGTCACAGTCATCCAAAGGGAATGAAATCCGTATCCTGAAGGGAACTCACTTTTCTAACAAGCTTCCAGCCGATGCTGACGCTTCAGAGCTGGGGTCCACACTTGGAGAACCACTGGCTTAAAACTTTTGCCACTACGTTATACCTCCCCATCGGGTTAATAAAGAAATGCTTCCAGCAGCTATGGCTGGACAGATTTGGGTGTTTTCCAAAAAATCTGTTAATGGCAGCATATCTAAAACATAAGGCAGGAGCGGTAGCTTCCAGCTGCGGGGTATTTCATACATGAAGGGAAGGAGGGTGGATGAGAGAGGCTGGGGTGTCCCGGGTCTGGGGCTTGAGCACAGAGGGTTAATCCTGGGTTCCCTCCGGGGAGTCCACGTGACTGGGAAAGAGGAAGGTGGAATGATTGCTTATGTACGGAAGCATCAAGGTCTTGGCTGTGTAAAACCCAATCATTACTTCCAGGTAGTAATGTGTTTTAGGCAATGTCTTCTGCTATGCTCAGCAATGCATGAGTCTCAGAGTGGTGGCCAGAGAAATGGCGAGTCGTCGGATATTGAGCGAGTGGTAATGGAATCCAGGAGGTGGAAATTACAAGTCGAAAAGTAAAATCGATGCCCTGACTGTGAAATGACTGAATGCCTGGTGAGGAACTGTGTAGGGATGTCCCCCTTCCTCACTCCCCACCGACCTTTAAGATGCTCACTGGTTCCGAAGTTCCTTGAGGGCAGGGACCATATTTTAATCATGGGTAATCATATCATGTCAGGGCAGAAATGGGCCTTAGAGAGCTTCCAGCCCTGGAATGGCAAATCGGTTTCATTTCGGTGCCAGCTCCAATCGTTTAGCGATGGCTGCCTGAAGCGCTGGGCTGAGAAGCGGGCTGCCCATCTCGGGGCTCTGTGGGGAGCCGAGCCTCGATCAATTAGCGAGGCTTACCACGGGCAGGGGAGCGGGGAGACAGCGCTTTGCACCGATTAGCCAACCCCGATCTAGTCCTACCTGCCCTGCCTACAGATGAGAAAAGAACTGCTCCAGAGCCCTGTCTGTGTCCCCAGAGCACTTCCACCCCCTAGCAGCCGTTCCATACCAGGCAAAGGGGTCTGTGCGTAACATTTAAGGGTCCGTGAACTCGGATGGGAAAAAAATTACATCTTCAGTTTTACTAACCTCTAACTGAAATTGAGCACTTCCTTCCATCATGAACATAGACAAGAAACCATAGTAGCATCAGCAGTCCCTGTGACTGTCACCAGTAGAAACCACAGCTATCTTTACAGCACATCAGAGCTGTTGCAGATATCTTTAAAGATCGCTTACACTCCTCACTAGGGTGAAATGAGAGTAGTTATTAGATCTGCCACTAAATCTTGTTGTTGAATGCATTAATAAAGAAGCACATGTATGACTCCCTCACAAACTTGTTTTTAAATATTTGGATAACTGCGTTTTGATAGAATTGGTTTCCTCGGTGATCCTATATGACGCATTTAAATCCATTATTCTGAGAAGAAGCGCATAGACTCACCAGACGCCAAAGGGGTGCATGGTCCACAAAAGGTTAAAACCCCCCTGCCAAAGTTGGCTGCCTGCAAGTTCTGTGTGTGCCAGGGCGCCTCCCAGCCTCGGCTTCAGTCACAGGAGCGGATGTGGGCAACATGGGCTGTCTTTGGTACCTTGAATGCTTTGCTGTGACTTGGCGGCAACTAGCAGCTGAGATAGTGCAAATTGGCCGCTCTCCACTCTGGGGAGACAGCTGACCTCGGGGGCTCCCCGGGCTCAGATGCCCAGACGGTGACAGCTCTGGCCCTGTGCCAGGCCTCCCCGGTTTGGTCTTCCACAGCGATGGCCAGTCTGGGTCACAGACACAGCAGCTCCGTGTTTGACTCCAGCCTTCTTTCTCCTATAGCAACCCTGCCCTTCTGCCGTGCTGTCCCCCAGGAGCCTGAAAGGCCGGCTTCGTGGATATCTTACTGCTGCGTCCTGGAGATTTCAATCACGGAGCACAGGCTACATCCCCGGTCCTCAGGCTCACCTTGCTGTTCTCCTTTCATTTTCAAAATGCATCTATTCTCCTTCCTTTGGGCATGCAGATGTTGGATTCTCAGCTATTTGTCCTGGAAGACACCTCCAAAAATTGTCTGTTCCGCATATCCCGCCCGTCCCCGCCCCACCCTTCGCTTTACAAACCAGGACACAGGCTGGGAGAGGCAGCATGACCTGCCCTTGTGACACAGACCTGGAACCACCCGGCCAGTCCTTTCCCCAACGTTGTACAGCCTCATAAATAATGTAAGATTTTGACATCGTAACCATCTGTCTCAGGTCAGGGAAACAAATTGCAAATTCATCCCTATACAAAATCACCATTTGATTAAGTCAGGGGAATTGGGGCTACTGCTGCTCCAGGGGGCTCTGTTCCCAGTAGATTCTCTGTACCTGGCACGACCGAAGGTTCTGTGCAGAATTCTTGTTCGTTTTTATTTTCAAAGACCCCTTGAGGAGTTCTAGAAGTGTGGGGTAAAGGGTGGATCCCTCCTTTTCCATCAGCATCACAGACAATGCTTTCAGGATGCTTCTGGTGTGGAGCTGCTCCTTTGCCCAAGGAATCTTCCCCACTGCCTTTCAGGTCAACAGTCACGCCTGAGCTACAAGGTCTCTCAGTTAGTGGAGACAGGCAAGGAGCTGTAACGAACATCCCCCAAATCTCTGTCGCTTAACAGAATGTGTGAAAGGCTTATTTCTCGTTCACATCACATTCCAATCAGGCGTTCCAGGGACGGCCTTGCACATGGTGATTCAGGGATCCAGGATCCCTTCATCTTGTGGAAAACAGCACTACGAACTTCAATACGTGGCTTCCGAGGTCAAGGTCGAACAAGATGAGAAAATGGAGGCTCCTGAGTGGCAGATTTTTATGGTTCAGGTATACTACTTCTGCCTACTTTCCATAGGCTAGAACTCAGTCACATGGCCCCAACCTAACTGCAAGGAAGCCTGGGAAATGTAGTCTAGCTGTGGACTCAGGAAGATGAAGAAATGGATACGATGGGAACAGTGTTGGCATGGCCATGGTCATTAATGTTATACTACTGTCCTAGTAAAGTACTTTGGGTTTCACATGACACTAGCTCAAGTGGGGCAGGAAAATATTGGATGGTGATGACCAAAAGGATGCTGGATACCTCACAGAGTCCGAAAGCAAGTTGATTGAGGAGATTCAGGTGGGACTGGACGAGAGAGTAACGGTCATCAATAGCTTCCCATTCTACGGGACCCCGTGGTTTTTCACTTTTTCTTTGCTTCATCTGTTCATTCAACAAATATTATTGAGCACCTACTAGATGCCAGACCAGGCTTTATTGCAGTGAAGCAAACAGACCACATCCCGGCTCTCATGGAGCTGACGTTATGTTCAATTTTCTATGCAAACTGTTTTCTCTCTTCTTTGTGCCCATGTTCCTGAGGTCCACTGGGGTCCTTGTATGGGATGTGATAGTGCTGGCCTGTGGCCCTCCCAACTGCTATTTCTGTCCTTTTCCCCAGCTAATGGCCCCCACCTTCTACCTACAAGATATCTGGACAACTGTTTTGTGCCATCACTTGTGAGAGAGAGACTATTAAATGGGGACTTCCTGCTTATCACATAGACCAGATGTTTTTTTTTTTAACATCTTTATTGGAGTATAATTGCTTTACAATGGTGTGTTAGTTTCTGCTTTATAACAAAGTGAATCAGCTATACATATACATATAGCCCCATATCTCCTCCCTCTTGGGTCTCCCTCCCACCCTCCCTATCCCATCCCTCTAGATGGTCACAAAGCACCGAGCTGATCTCCCTGTGCCATGCGGCTGCTTCCCACTAGCTATCTATTTTACATTTGGTAGTGTATATAAGTCCATGCCACTCTCTCACTTCGTCCCAGCTTACCCTTGCCCCTCCCCATGTCCTCAACTCCATTCTCTACGTATGCGTCTTTATTCCTGTCCTGCCCCTAGGTCCTTCAGAACCATTTTTTTTTAGATTCAATATATATGTGTTAACATACAGTATTTGTTTTTCTCTTTCTGACTTACTTCACTCTGTATGACAGACTCTAGGTCCATCCACCTCACTACAAATAACTCAATTTCGTTTCTTTATATGACGGAGTAACATTCCATTGTATATATGTGCCACATCTTCTTTATCCATTCATCTGTCGATGGACATTTAGGTTGCTTCCATGTCCTGGCTATTGTAAGTAGAGCTGCAATGAACATTGTGGTACATGACTCTTTTTGAATTATGGTTTTCTCAGGGTATATGCCCAGTAGTGGGATTGCTGGGTCGTATGGTAGCCCTATTTTTAGTTTCTTAAGGAACCTCCGTACTGTTCTCCATAGTGGCTGTATCCATTTACATTCCCACCAACAGTGCAAGAGGGCTCCCTTTTCTCCACACCCTCTCCAGCATTTACTGTTTGTAGATTTTTTGATGATGGCCATTCTGACTGGTGTGAGGTGATACCTCATTGTAGTTTTGATTTGCATTTCTCTAATTATTAGTGATGTTGAGCATCCTTTCACGTGTTTGTTGGCAATCTGTATATCTTCTTTGGAGAAATGTCTCTTTAGGTCTCCTGCCCATTTTTGGATTGGGTTGTTTGTTTTTTTGATATTGAGCTGCATGAGCTGCTTGTAAATTTTGGAGATTAATCCTTTGTCAGTTGCTTCATTTGCAAATATTTTCTCCCATTCTGAGGGTTGTCTTTTCGTCTTATTTATGGTTTCCTTTGCTTTGCAAAAGCTTTTAAGCTTCATTAGGTCCCATTTGTTTATTTTTGGTTTTATTTTCATTTCTCTAGGAGGTGGGTCAAAAAGGATTTTGCTATGATTTATGTCATAGAGTGTTCTGCCTATGTTCTTTTTTTTTAAATAAGTTTTTGTTTTGTTTTGTTTATATATTTATTTATTTATTTTCGGCTGCGTTGGGTCTTCGTTGCTGTGCACGGGCTTTCTCTAGTTGCAGTGAGCAGGGTCTACTCTTTGTGGCAGTGCACGGGCTTCTCATTGCGGTAGCTTCTCTTGTTGCGGAGCACAGGCTCTAGGCGCGTGGGCTTCAGTAGTTGTGGCACACGGGCTCAGTAGCTGTGGCTCGTGGGCTCTAGAGCGCAGGCTCAGTAGTCATGGTGCACAGGCTTAGTTGCTCTGCGGCATGTGGGATCTTCCCGGACCAGGGCTCAAACCTGTGTCCTCTGCACTGGCAGACGGATTCTTAACCACTGCCACCAGGGAAGTCCCGACCAGATGTCTTAATTTGGGTTCCCCCCAAAGCAGACCTGGAGACAAAGATTTGGATGTCAGTGGTTTATTTGGGAGGTGAGCCCAGGGAGTATCAGCAGGGAAATGAGGAAGTGAGATGGAGAAAGGAGGAAAGGCAATACAGGGAGAGTTTATGAGCTGGTTCCCACTGTGGGCAACTGGGACTCAAAATCACTGGGGACCATGTGGAACACACCTCTGAATTGGCCCACCAAGGGGCAAGGAAGCAAAGTACCCATCCATCAACTCCTTGATGGTCATTGGTTGAGGAGATTAACTCCCACTGCAGGCAGCCAATCACAGCCCTCAAGAGGAAAGACTTGGGAAGCAATGGGCAGGGCACTAGCAGTTACTGCTCCACCAGGGATCAGAGCTCAGAGCCAAGCTTCTCAAAGTGTGGTCCAGGACCCTCCACTTGGGAACCACCAGTGTGACTCGTTATGTTTTCCCCCAGCCGTGCAGACCTTCAGCTTGAGTACCTGAGGAGGGGCTGGAATGGACACTTTTTATCCACTCTCTAGCTAAGTGATGGCCATCTTGACCTACTACTCAAGAAAAGCATCCCAGGTTTCCCTGGTGGCGCAGTGGTTGAGAGTCCGCCTGCCGATGCAGGGGACACGGGTTCGTACCCCGGTCCGGAAAACATCCCAACTCCTCACCATGGCCCGCAAGACCCTCCTGATCTGGTCCTGCCTACCAATCAAGCCCCAGCTCTCCCTGCCCCGACACTTGGCACCCCCTGTTTAGGCTCTGCTGGCCTGTTTCCTGAACCCTACAAGCCTGGTCCTGCCTCTAGACACTTGTTTTTCCCACCAGCCAACTGCTCCCTACTGCTCCCCGTCTGCCTCACCTTGTCTTGGTCTCTACTCCAAATCCCTTCCCTGACCAGCCTGTCTACAATAGCCCCCCACCACCCTCTCCTTACCCAGTGTGACTCCTTTCCGCGTAAGTTACATGAGACATTCATTCATTTGCTTGTTTGTTGCCGGGCTTCCCATTCAGTGGACGAATCCTGAGGACAGGAATGTGCTTTCCTGAGCACATAGCAGGCACTCAGGAAATACTGGTTAAATGAACAGACCTGGGCACCTCCACCTCCTTCATGATCTGATTTTAGCAGTAGTTACCTCTTCATACAAAGCAGAGGAAATTGGACGTGGGGTGGGGGGCGGGGTGGGGAGTTGGTCCAACGTTCTGAAAAACCTAGGGGCAGGACAGGAATAGAGACGCAGATGTAGAGAATGGACTTGAGTTCCAGTGGTTAAGACATTACCTTCCAATGCAGAGGGTGTGGGTTCGATCCTTCCTCAGGGAGCTAAGGTCCCACATGCCTTGCGGCCAAAAACCCCAAACATAAAACAGAAGCAATATTGGAAAGAATTCAATAAAGACTTTAAAAATGGTCCACCTCCAGGAATAAAGAAGCAGACATAGAGAATGGACTTGAGGACACGGGGAAGGGGAAGGGGAAGCTGGGACGAAGTGAGAGAGTGGCATGGACATATATACACTACCAAATGTAAAATAGATAGCTAGTGTATTTACATTTTACTCTAAAAAGTAAAGCCTTTAAAACTGCTTCCCACCCCCTCCCACGTACCTTGCCAACTCCCCATAAACCTCTGACCTAAGCAATCACTGACCTCTGGGATTCTCAGACCAGCCCCCCCCCCCCAAAAAAAAGGCAATCTGAAAACCAGGAACTCAGAGTCTTGAGCTGGGAAACTGTGTGTGTGGGTGAGGGGAATACCTCTGTACCCCGAGTCCAAAGCTCACACAATCAGGAGTGCCAAAAATTAGAAGGAATCCATTCTAACCCCACCTGGGCCTCTGTTTCCTCCTCTGTAAAATGGGTGTAATACTTACCTGAGAGCACTGCTGTGAGAACTAAGGGAGCTAATTAAATTCACATAAAAACACTCAGCACTGTACACGATGCATGATAGCCTTCAATAAATGCTAGCTTAGGACTCTTTTCTTCTATTATCAGGATGCATGTGACGCAGTGCCTGGTACACTGGAGGACCTGGGAAAGGTGGTCTTGAGCGGGTTTCTAAGAACTGACGGTCAAGTAATTACCACCTAAGGTGAGCACAGCAATGGAGCTGGGGGAACGTGGCCCCTGGAACCCAGAGGAGGGAATCAAGAGGAAATTTACTGGTGAGGCCTCTGGGAGGATGAACAAGAGTCAGCCGAGTCGCTGTGCTGTCCCTAAGGGCGCGGCTTGGAAAGGCTCTGAGACAGTTGTCACGCAGCGAGGCTGTTTTTTCCATGTCCTTCACTGAGTCCCCACTTAGGAGCTCGAGGAAAATGAAAGAAAATTCTCACGACCTCCGTCATTTCCACCTCGTATTTACTTATTTTTATGAATGTTATTTTTTGGCCCTGATCCCTTCACTCGGGATTTGGGGCTCAGACATGGCCGAACTCTGTCTTATTTCGTGCTGCCCCTTTTCTGGAAGCCGCCACCTCTGTCGGGGTGGCTGGCTAAAAGGGGGATTGGGCAAGATCTCAAGGGGAACGATTAGGAGATTTCAGTTGTTTCTTGTGTTTCCACCTCCTTTCCGATCTGGGAGGGGGGAAGAGGCAGCCCACGTGGGTGACTGGGGAAACAAGCAGAGATAAGAGCTTCTCGACAGGCTGGGCTAGCGGGCCCCTCATTCACACCGCTTCAAAGACAAACACTTTCCGTTTGTCGATTTGTTTTAGGCCTTGCCGAATCTGCAACTCTGTGGCCTTGACTCTAAAAATAAATCTCCTGCAGTAATGACGAGGCTGTTGCAAAGAGGAAGGCTGTGCAGAGAAAGAAAGACCGAGGGAGGCGGGAGAGATACTGAATACCCAAACAGGAAGAAGGGATGTGGGGAAATTGTCTTGGCTCCTTCCTCCCGACCGATGCCCGGCCAGGCAGGCTGCAAAAGCCAACAGCACTGGGCAGGATGCTCCGCCGGTTCATCAGAACCTGAGCACAGAGGAGGGGACTGTCCCGTCTAGGCATTGTGACCCAGCTGCTAACTGTGGTCCACGCACTGGCAGCTGCGTCAGCATCACCTGCGAACCTTTTAGAAATACAAATTCTCCGGCCCCACCCCAGCCCCGCTGAATCGGAAGCTGCATTTTAACCAGCTCCCAGGGTGATTCATGGGCACACTAGAGTTTGAGAAGCGGGTAGAGTCCCTGATGTTGCACTGAATGCGCCAAACAGATGCTCAATTCTCCTCCCTTCCAACAAACCAGAGGCGTGCCCCTCCCTCGCTGGCGGGCTTCCTCCCAGGACTCTCCTTTGGAGAAAGGAACCTCTTAGCAGGATCCAGCTAGGTTCCTTGTGACCACAGTTCATTTTACTACAATGCTGCAGCTCCCCATGCGCCCCCAAGATAATTAGGAACATCTTTGGCTGGTCCTGTGCTCATTCAACATTCACATGGACGTAGGACGCAGGCTCATTACAGGCTGGTTACTCCCCAGGGGCTCTCTGGGATTTGTCATTTGAGTCCTTTTCCTCCACCCCTGGTTGCTTTGTTTCTCCTTCCCCAGCTCCTGGCCTGAAATGTTTCCTTATCTCCTCATCTTTATGAAACTCAATGTCACGGCCTCAGTGCGAGATTTTGATACACGCTGATATCCCCCTCCATTCTCCCCTCCTCTTAGGTCTCGCTGACATATTTCAACCCTCCTTACTCTTCTCATCACCCAGGCCAGGCAGGTGAGCATCAGGCTATTGTTTAGATGCTGAGTAGGTGACAAAGAGTTATGGTTGCTCTTTGCTGGAATTCTAAATAATGGCTGTCACTCCTCGTTGACTATAAAATGTACAAATGTGAATGATAAGAAAGAACATAACTGTGGCCCATCTCATCAAATTTATCTTAGCTGTGCTTTAAAATCAATTTGATTTGTAAATTATTCATGGCGTGTAGCAACTATTACAGAGTTGCACTCCTTTAAACCTATGTTCTAAAGATCGTACTAACTTTCTGGAGACGTTTCTATTACAAAGGTAATGCCTATCTATCTTAGAAAATGTGGATACTACAGATAAGCAAAAATAATTATTATATTATTATCACCTCTAATCCTATGACCAAGAAATAATCACTGTTAACATTTTAGTCTATATCCTTTCGGTCTTTTTGCATTCTATACCCACAGGTATGCATATGTATCTCTCTATCTCTATTTTTTTTAGGGTCACTGTATATGTGCTAGCTTGTTTCCAAAGATGGCTGCCGTCATCAATGCATTCCCCTCTGTTCTGGAAGCAGCTCATACCAACTCTCCAGAGCCGATAGCGGGCATTTCCTCCCAGCTCTGTGTTAAGTGACATCATATTGATAGCTTGAGATCAGCCACGGTGGTAAATATTATCGATCAGGGCTTTTCTTTCCCCAGACATCTGGTTATTCAACATTTACCAGTGTACCACTGTGTATATATACGCCCACGGCCAACTTCATGGACGAGCAATCTTAATAATTTTATGTTTGAGATTGTGTTTTGTCAGTGAAGTCTGATGGGCCGATAGAACATCACGTGACGAGAGGAAATACATACAAGATATGTGTCCACCATTTCTTATTGCCCCGTTAGCCTTGGGGTTCACGATGCCCCATGAGCACAGAATTCTGGGGAACCCACAAGGCATGGGAGTTCAGTGAGACTCAAGGCGAATGCAAAGTGAGTATGTGATATCTACAGCTGAGTAAGCGGGGGAGCTGACAGCCCTAAGAGGCCATGCTTTCCATTTGAAACAGTCTTTGCTCCAGATGCAGAAAGAAAGTCCTGGCGTTTGAAGAAACACAAACGACCAAGGAGCCCTATCATATTCCTTCTTGCGTCACTTCCGTGTCAGCCAACCACTCACAATGAAAATGGTGATGTACGTAGAAGAAAAGGGAAAGACAAGGCACCTCGGAGTTCCTTTTCTTTCACTCCTTCCCCTTCCTTGTTTATCAGTGAGCAGAAGGTAGAGTGCTGGCAGAATGCGCGCGTATCAAGTAAAACAGTTGAGTTCGTTTTGTGCAGCGTTTCCTCTGCTCTGCTAAGAACGAAATACATATGGGTGTACAAGCTTCGAAACACAAATTGTGTAATTTCACCGATTCTGCATGAGTCCAATGCTCTTACATTTGCACGTAAAACTGACATTGCACAAGATATAGATAAATGGTAAATTCATGTTAATAATTTAAATTTTTCTTTACTTAGAACTACATTAAATAGAAAATTTTAAAACACCATGACAGGTCAAGGGAAAGACCCTGAGAGAAAGGAGAAAAGCTTTATATTTAAGTATCGGTAACAGCACTTTTTCCTGGTTTTTCGAACAAGGGGCCCTACGTTTTTATTTTGCGCTCGGCTCCACAAATTGCGGAGTGGAGCCGGCCATGTCCATTCCATTCCCCACTGAGGGGCTGAGTCTATTCCTTCACCTCCTGAATCTAGGTGACCTGTGACTGCTTTGACCAGTAGAGTTCCATAGACGTGAGCTTTGCTGGTTGTACCCTTTACCTTTAACAGAACTGGAGGTTTCCACTTCCTGCCTCTTAGAGCCCTGAGCCACCGGGAAAGAAGTCCAGGCTACTCTGCTAGAGAGAGACGTCATGTGCGAGAGTACTGGGGCACCAGACGCATGAATGCAGAAGACACCTTGAAGGTTCAGTGCAGTCGAGCCTTCAGATGACCCCAGCCCCAGCTGCATTCTAAATGCAACCTTGTGAGAGACCCCAGGCAAAAACCACCACAGGATCATGAGCGATAATAATAAACTGTTGTTTAATTCCACTAAGCTTTGGGATGGTTTGTTCGGCGGCAACAGATGACTGCAACAGTATCCGTTCCCTTTCGTAATGTGTGCCATTAGACCTTAAAGAGAAAATTCTAGATTCCCCCCCCCAAGGACCAGAACACTAAGTGGACAATATTAGGGTGAGGTTCAAGCTGCAATGAAGCAGGAGAGCGTGACCTCAAAGTTTAGTGCGCTTCAGATTCAGTGGGGCGGGAGCAGGGAGACTGGGGACACATTAAAAATGCAGCTCTTCTGACTCCAGCCCCCCAGATTTGGATTCGGTAAATCTGGGGTATGGCCAAGGCATCTGTACTTTTCCAAGCCCTCCCCTCATGGTTTGGAGGAGGCTTTTGGTGGACTGCAATGTGCAGAATGCTGCTTCAGAGCGTATCAATCCACAGTGGCAACGGGCTGTTGATTTCAGAGTCAGGAGATTCCCATAACCCCCTCCCCAGCCCCGAATTACAGAACTTGCTGATGGCCTGGGAAGGTTACCTGGAAAAAAGATAGACTTGCCCATCACAGAACTTTCCTCATCTTCTATTTGAAAACCAACAGAGAAAACAAGCGAGAAACTATTCTTATTATAGGTTAAGCAGAATTTTCAGGAAAGGCATCCAACCATTACTGATTACTCAGAGGACCATATGCATGCGAGCAGAGAGAGAGAAAATGCCCATCTTCCGTCTGCAGCAGACTTTTCCTTTGGGTTATCATTCCCCAAAGAGACACGGGTGGCCCCAAAATGCCACTTGGTTTTACATCTTTAGAGGGAACTAAAAACCATACGCATATTTTAGGTAGCCATACCAGGTGAAAAATGAGATCCTTAAAATTCTAATTTCAGTGAGATTGTGACTTATGCATCTTTGCCTTCCCAGCTTCTCACATGGTGCCTGCCTCCAAGTGGGAGAGCAGTAATTATTTGCCAAGTGAATTAATATGAGTTACCAATAAATGTGAAGCATCAAACAAAGCTACAGTCTTGATGTCACGCAGACATCACTGGATGTGATTAGCATTCAACGGACCTAATCTCATCCTTGTAGGAGATGTCCTAAAAGAGAGATGATGAACAGATCCTCGTGAAATAAATTCACTCAAAGTTTCCCAGAAATGGCTGAATCCCTGGGAAGCAGTTTTGAACTGGCAGCTCTCAGGAAGAGACTTAACCGAGCCACGTTTGCTGAGTATCCACCCACAGAGGGCGAGGGATGGCGGGTGGTTCCGGGGCACGGCCACGAAAAATGGGCGTGGCCAGAGACCTGGACCAAAGAACGAATGGGCGTCTGTGTGACAAGCCGATGAGAGGTGATGAGAATCAATGGTGCTCAACCTCATCCTCCTCGCTGTAAAGCGGTGCAAACAGTATACATCTCACAAAGCTTTCACGAGAATTGAAGAACACATAAACACACACAAAGTCTCTTGCACAGTGCCTGGCACATAATGGCCCCTCAGCAAAATGTTATCTCGTATTCCCTGAACTCTCTAACTACCCTGGATGCTTCTCTCATGCTTCAGCTTTCCCTGACGATACAGTAGTGCTTGCTATAAAGGAAGCTGAGGATGGGTGGTGTTTATCAGTCAGCGTCTGCTGCATAACAAATCACCTCAAGCTTAGTAGTTTAAAACCACACTCATTTATGCTTGCTTTTACATCTTTAGGTCAGCTAATCTCAGCTGGGCTCGGCTGGGAAGCTCTGCTTCCGGCTGCTAGTTTGCCCGGGTGTGGTTCCTCATCACAGATTGGGCTCAAGTCTGACTCTGGGTCCCAGAACAAGGGGCAGCTACGGGGGAAAATACTTTCTCATGGCAATGACAGAGGCGCAAAAGGGCGAGACCAGCCATGCAACCACATTTCCAGCTAGAAAGTCAAAAGGAGGGGGTGGTAGAAATACAGCTTTAGAAGCTGGGGCCACCTGGCAAAAGTTGCAGCCACAGTCTATGAAAGAAACTGAAGCTGTGGAGGAGACCCAGCTGCTGCAGGGATGTGGGGAGAAATACCCTGGTGTCTTCCCTCTTCCTGCCCTGGGACTTCCATCAGTGTCTCCTGTTGGCCAAACATACCAGGAAGTCAGAAAGCAAGGGGGCAGGGAAATGCAGTTCCCCTTGAGACAGAACAGGCTAGAAAAGGCAGGGATGGATCTGGAAACAAACTGGTGTATGTGATAGCATTTACTTGGCCCAGACCTGTACGTACACCCAGGCAACACACTGCCCGAGCACAGAAGCGGTCAATCCCAGCGCCCCATCCGTACCCCTTGGCACTGACTGATCCCACACCACCAGTGTTTTACTGAAGACGCCTGCAGCTCTGCCCGAGGGCTTTTCCTGTGCACGGGAGCACGCCTGGGCTGCGTGCCAGGGAAATTGAAGGGCTGCAGGGTTGGCGCTCCTGCTGCTGGACAGAATGGGTGGCTCGTGCCCCTGACCCTGTGAGCAAGCTTTACGTTGCCTCTTAGAGGTCCTCAGTGGGACTGAGCCCCCATGGCCCCCAACGCTCATCTGTGCATCGTACCACATTCCGTGTCGACTTCCTTTCCTTCTCTCTCATACCTACCCCCATCACGAATCAACTCCTTCATCCAAGCTAAGACAGAAGCCCCCTCAGAACAGCTCACAGCTGGCATGTGTGCCTTTGTGGCAAAGCAGGAACAGACCAGGGCTCAGGGCCAGGGGTCAGGCCCAGGACTGGGCACTCCTGTATCCATCCCTAGGACTCATATCCCCCTCACACACCAGGGCCCTATTTGGTTCCTCCCACCCACCGCAGAACATCTTCCTTTCCATTCTTTCCATGGGAGGAAGAGCAGAGCGAAAGAGGCTCAGGGCCCCCCTCCAGCAAAAAAGTCAGGGGCAGACTTGGGCCTGGAACGTTCTCCCAGAGTCTCTACCTTGCTCCCACGCCCCTGCCCCACCTGCCCCCAGCACCCCACGAAAGGCCGCCCCTCCTCAGAAGGGAGCGAGTTAAGTGCCGCGTTACCAAGGAACTGCAACACTAGCCACCAAAGTGACTGCTCGTTATTTGAACACTTTCTTCTATTTGACTGAATACAGGAGAAATGTCACAAATAGAATATTCGTCACCCCCCTCATGTGCCTTTTCTTCCCTGCTTATCTCCCTGCTGTCATGTACGAATCCCAGCTTCGGGTTCATTTCGTATGTTGAGTGCATGCCCAGGGAGAAGATGCCACTGAAAGCCTTGCCCACGTGCTCCATGCAGCGACAGCCCTCCCTCCCCACCGGTGACACCCCACCAGACGAACGCCACTCACACTGACCCCTCGAGAGTAGGACAACGTCTGCCTAAGCGGTGGGGCCTTCTGCTCTACGCAGAGGGAACGTAAAGGGCCCGAGGAGCTTTCACAGCCATTCAGTGATTCTCGGCATGTCACTTTTACAGACACCTCAGCTTCCAGAGCTTTTATCCTCAGGTGCTTCTCAGAAGACGCAGGATGGCATCCCCACCCCACTTCAAACGCCGTCTGTTTCGAGATCCTCAGAGGGGCTAACGCCGCCTGCCAATTTCTCAGCTACGGAGTCATCCGCGCGGAGCGTCGCTCTCTGTCTCTTTTCCATCAGTGGCGGAGACACGGTTTCCCCAACCTGCTGCTTCTCCAGCCCGGCCCCACCTTACAGATTGCCCTGTCAAGCTGCAGGGAACACGTTTCTAGGACTGGAGAATGAAAGTACTTATTGCCCTGACAATTAGATATTATGTTCAACTGCAGTAACACAGGCTTGAAAACTGTGTGGCTTAAAAAAGAGAGGGATTTCTTTTTCTCTCCTGTAATATCAGTCCAGAGGTGGGCCATCGAGGGCTGGTATGGCTGCTCCCTAAAGCCACCAAGGACCCAGCCCTTTTCTTTTTCGTTCTGAGGGGGTTACCATCACCCCAGGCTCTTAAGATGGCCACTGGACCTCCAGCCATCACATCAGAATTTCAGGCAGGGTAAAGAGAAAGGGCAGAAGGGGGCTCCCAAGCTGATTCGGCCTCCCTTCTAAAGAGCTTTCCAGAAATCCCACCCAAGAACTCCAGCTTAACATTTTATTGACCAGTAGCTACAATCGAGCCTGGCACCTTGCCGTCATCCATAAAATCGGAGCTCTATGAATGTCATGGGCTTATTGTGTATTCCTACAATTCATATGTTAAAGTCCTAACTCCCGGTGCTTCAGAGTATGACTGTATTTGGAGATAGGGTCTTTAAAGAAGTGATTAAGTTAAATGGGGTCATTAGAACCGGCCCTAATCCAATCTGACTGGTGTCCTGAGAAGAAGACGCCATTAGGACACGGACAACATACAGAAGGAAGACCATGTGAAGACACAGAGAGAAGGTGACCATCTACAAGCCATGGAGCGAGATCTCAAGATGAAACCAGCCCTGCCAAGGTGCCGCCATCTTGATCTTGGACTTGGCAAACTGTAAGAAAATAAACCGCTGTTGTTTAAGCCACCTGGTGTGTGGCACTCTGTTATGGCAGCCTGAGTAGACTAAGACAAGAAGTGAGGAAAAGAGAAGAATGGTCAGGGGTAGGCAATTACCAGCACCTGGCACATTTGGGAAATCCGTGTCTTTATTACCTGAGCTTTTTAAGATCCTTTTTTTTTTTTTTTTTTGCGGTGCGCGGGCCTCTCACTGTTGTGGCCTCTCCCGTTGCGGAGCAACAGGCTCCGGACGCGCAGGCTCAGCGGCCATGGCTCACGGGCCCAGCCGCTCCGCGGCATGTGGGATCTTCCCGGACCGGGGCACGAACGCGCGTCCCCTGCATCGGCAGCTGCACTCTCAACCACTGCGCCACCAGGGAAGCCCTTAAGATCCGTTTTTAAGGTGGTTTTCATCAGGTGGCATCCAGAGGACCTGCACCGTCCCCACCCTTCCCTAACCAGCTCTCCACCAACCTCCATTTCTCTCTTGTCTTTGCATGACTCTCCTCCCTGGAAATGCTTATATAAAACCGTGGCCTCTCTGGAACAATTTGC